CAGCCACGCCTTGAATAAGTGGTACTGTGAAGGGGATTTTCCCCCAATACTGTGGAGTTATGAATCCTTTCTTCCCAATCTCTAGCTTGCCAAGGGGTCCTCCTTTTGTTCTTTGTGTTCAATCTCTCTTTTCTTCCCCAGGAGTCTTGCTTGTCTTCTGCAGTATATGTGCTTGAATAAGAGGACAAACAGATGTTGACTTCCATACTGTAAAGCATACAGAAAATGAGCAATTAACATTTATCCATGGTGAATCACTCTTCTCCAGCATTGCTAGCTCTTGAAAACGTGTATTCCATGTAAGCACCGTGGGACATTTTGTTTTCATTTAGATGCATAGCAGAACTTATCTCAAAGCTATATTCAAATCCACCCAGTGGGAGTCTTCAACTATTCTAAGAAATAAAGCCAATGAATAGAATATTTCCATTTAAAATATTTGAAAGGATTTTCCCCAAATGTATTCATATTTTTGCATTTTTAAAAACTCTTAATTCAGCCTGTTGTTATCTACTTAGACAGAGGTAAATGTAATTATAAATGGTTTCTGACTATAGGTATTATGTCTAGTCTTAAGCTAAGTATATATAGAAGATAATGGTGGCTTAGGGTGTTTTCGCTGGATAAAGTAGCCACTTAGTGAGAAATAGATATCATGATTTGTTTGTTCTTAGAATTACCCAGTGTTAGACATATATGTAAACCACCTCACACACACACACACACACACACACACACACACACACACACACACACACACACACATCACACCTCTTATGTGTCTGCCTCTACTTCAGTTTGTTTTCTTAGCACCCCCATGCCTCTAGAAGCTCATCTTGATCTTGTATGATTTTCTCTCGAGTGTAGCAGAGCCTGAATCACTTGGACAGCTGCACATTGTCCCAATCCAATATCTGGTAGATATGTGTTGAGTGCCCAGGCAGTAGCAGCATGATCAGGACTGAACTGTTCTCTGAGAAACAATTCATTTTAGACCACTAGTCTGATGTGTTCATCTAGAATATCCTATTTGGAAGCAGAATCTGTCTTATACTTCTAGACTGTGATTCAGTCCTTCTAAGTAAGCATCTTTTCTACTTCCACGTGTTCCCATGACTAATTCTGAAAAGCTCCATTATACTTTTTTCAACCCTGACTCCATTTTCACCTTCATCCTATCTCCATCATCTATCTCACCTGTACCTCTGTCTCCATCCATATCCACATCTCCATCTGAACCCCACACCTTTATCTTCATTTTTATTTTCATGACCATTTCCATTTTCACCCCCACCTTCAGTTCCATCCCAGCTTCATCTCATCTTCGCCTCCTACCTTCATCTCCATTTCCTTTTCTAGCCTTACCTTCATATCTTCATCCTTACTTCCATCCATACTAACACCTCCAGCTCTGATTACCAATACTAATTTTAACCCTGCCACTTATGATCTCCACTGATAGGCCTGCTCCATTCATTAACCAATTAAAAAAATCCAAACCCGCACCCTCAGAATTCATTGTTGTAAGTCACCATGGAACCAGCCAGATGATAGACACTGGTAGATGCAATAGACCATTTCAGCTGATTGACCAATAGAGAATCAGAAGCTGGCAAAGCATCACTGCAGTGACCCTCTATTTCTGCTCTATTCACACCCTTCATCCTGCCCTGTTGCTTATAGTTCCTTTTACCTGTCCATCCTTATAGACTTGCTTTGTTTACCCCCATTTGACATGACTGCCTACGCTTTTCTTTTATCTAAAACTTGTTTCTTTCTCCTGCTCATGCTGCTACTTATAAGGTTTCTGAAAGTCTTGAAAAACAGAAATGTATAAAAAGCAACTACATTTTAGTGTAATAAAAAGTGCTGTAGAGACAGCATTGTGACTAGATGGCATACAAAGAGATAAAGAGATTTGTTAAGAAAGTCATTTAGTAGATAATAAATCTAACTTGAATGGGGCCTCTGGGTCCCACCCCAGTGAGTCAGATTCCCTAATTTCAGCAGCACAAACGTTATAAGATTAACACGGAATGAAATATTGAGATGAGATTAAATACAACCTGATGCACTATTAATCTTAACCTTCCTCGGAGAGTCACGTTTCAGAGGATGTAGAAAAGAACTCCAGAAGGAAGCAAGTCCCAGAAGCAAACAAGCCTTCACTCTCCCTGGCTTTCTAGTGGTGGAACTGACCTCTGCCAGCGCTAGAATATATCAGTGTTGTTTGTAATCACAGCTCCCACCACACTCCTGACACTGGAGCACCTGCAAATTGAACTTAGAGGCACAAGATAAATTATGCAATTTGTGAGGTGCCCAGAAAACAGCTACCGTGGAAAATTACCATTAATAACAGCCTCATTACAAGCTTAGTTTATTCTAAACTATACTGAGTCTTGACTCTCATACCAATGCATTATATTCTTTGTTATGAAGATTATATAAACTTATTAGGGAAAAGTGGGTTCTTTCCATAGCAAAAAGAATCAAATTAGAAAGGCAAAAAGAACTGCACTTCGCAGAGTCCCATGATAAAAACCCATCAATATTTGTCAAATTTGCACTGGAATTTCTGACAACGAAAAACACAAATTCTATCTGTCCAGTTGCAAGTCAACACAGCTTGTCTAAATACAGCCCTTTGACACCAAAACCAACTTGAAATGTATTGAACTCCCTTCAGCTGGTAATTTAGACCTGTCAGACAACAGTGGAGCATAACTGGGCTGAGAGATCCTACTTCTGTCTTATACAAAGCTCATAATGAACCACATTTTTCTGATTCAGTCTTCCAATCAGATTCTATTCAATGTACTGTTTGGTTCTGGCATTATTGTGACTCATGGGGCTCCATTTTCATACTGCAGTGGCAACTTTTTTTTTCAACATAAACTAAAGTAAACTTATTTGTCGAGTGTAGCAAGGTCTCACTGAAGTGAGAAAACTAAGATTGTGTCAAACATTCTTTGAGTGTGAAAGCATTCTGGACAGCTTAAACACTATTTTGGGCATTGAGTTATTAAAAGAATCCTGAACTTTCTCTTATTGATCTGAAATTCAAGAGTTGCTCAGTTGTCATGGTTTTATACATACTAAGTTTTTAGATCTCTTAAGTTTTTGGATTCCTCATGACCTTTGATTCAATACTTGCATATATATATACCAACAAACATAATCTTAGACCTACTCTGAGCCAGACCTGAGTCAAGCCCTAGTAATAGAGAGATGAAGGAATCCTTGCCACCCTAAAGCTCATGGTTCCATAAATGAGTTGAAACGACAGTCTGGGAATCTGGATCTTTAGGAGAGAGGGGAAACAAACTTGTAAAGAGTGCATGTTCTGCCTTCCTGTATTGAGTCAATGCTTGCCTCAACCTATTCCACAGGTAGGGCATGAGAACACGGGTCTTGGGTGTGGGGGCAAGGAAGGAGAGAGGGGGGTTTCTACAGACTAGTAAGTGATTCCAAACCTTATTCTGATCAGTCAAGACCTCTTTTATTTCCTTGGCATCAGCCTGCTCCTGTCATGCAGAGATGTGGCATTTGGTACCAGTTAGATCTCTTTATATTGACCTTCAGTGGCCAAGCGTTCTGATGTGGACCATGTGGAGAGTGCAGGCAGAATGCTGGCTCTCATAAAGTTCCCTTCCAGGTGGTGTTCTAGTTATTTACCTGTTGCTGTGATAAAACGCTGATCAAAAACAACTCAGAAGGAAAGCATTTATTCAGCTTACACTTCCAGATCACAGTCTATCATTTAAAGAAGTCAGGGAAAGAACTCGAGCAGGAACTGAAGCAGAAACCATGGAGGAATGCTGCTTGCTAACTTTCTCTCTGCTTCACTTTCTTATATAGCTCAGGACCACCTTTCCAGGAGATATCACTGCTCACAGCAGGATGAACCCTTCTACATCAATTAAGATAATCATGACAATCTCTCACAGACATGTCACAAACAAACACGATAAAGTCAATTACTCAACTGAGACTTCTTTCAGTTGATTCTAGATTGTATGAAGTTGACAGTTAATGATAACTAGGACCAGTGGTGATGATAGAAATGAATATGGAGGGGACAGACACTGAACATTTGTTATACATGGTAGAAGACAAGTGACAGAAAATGGCTTCTCCAAAGCAGTAACTGCTGTGGATATTGCTCTGAATGCTGTGAATGTGTTGCTCTGATTGGTTAATAAATAAAGTGCTGATTGTCTAGTAGCCAGGCAGGAAGTATAGGCAGGACAAAGAGAGAGGAGAATTCAGGGAACAGGAAGGCTGAGCCAGGAGTCACCAGCCAGACACAGAGGAAGCAAGATGTAAAAGATACCTGTAAGCCATGAGCCATGTGGTATAGATTTATAGAAATGGGTTAATTTAAGATATAAGAACTAGATAGCAAGAAGCCTGCCACAGCCATGCAGTTTATAAGTAATATAAGTCTCTATGTGTTTACTTGGGTCTGAGTGGCTGTGAGAGCTGGGTGGACACAGGAAAACTCCAGCTACAAGTGACATTTACAAGGAGACTTAAGCCACACAGTGGGGACTGTTTCTGACTATGAGAATGAAGTCAACATGGGTGAATAAGAGTAAGGGTGGAAGACAGGTTTTGTGGGACATGGCAAGGAGTTAATTCTTACTGAAATTAGTATGAAGATGTGTCACATTATACAAATTATGGGCTTTGGATACTTTTATTGTTTGCTAGTTCACATATTTGCATGGTAAATTTAGGTCCTCTTCTACCCATCCTCTTCCCTCATTCCTTTCACTCTGCTGCTGGAACTCTTCTCAACCAGTCTCCCTCTGACTTCCATGTCTTCCTTTTATGTGTGGTCACTGAGAGTTACTTTGCCATGTGTGGGTGGGGAGACACATTTGGTCTTATAAGCTAAGGAAGAATGAAATAGAAGTTGCCTTACTTTGATTCTTTGTTGCTGTAATACAACATCAACCAAAGCTAACTTGGGGAAAACTTTGTTTGGCTTACAGGTTATAGTCCATCATTGGGGAAACCAGGAAGGAATGCAGGGCCGGAACCTGGAGGCAAGAACTGAGGCAACCGACCATGGAGGAGTGCTGCTTACTGGCTTGTTCCCTATGGCTTGTTCATCTTGCTTTCTGATCCAGGCCAGGACCACCTGTCCAGACAAGAAACCACTACAGTGAGTTGGGTTCTTTTATATCAGTCACCAATCAAGAAAATGTCCCCCCAAAACATGCCCATGGGACAATCTGTTAGAGGCAATTCCTCAACTGAGATTCCTTCACAGATTACTTTGTGTGTATGTGTGTGTGTGTGTGTGTGTGTGTGTGTGTGTGTGTGTATACACATTCATATACATAATCAAATGATAGTAGAATTTGTGAAGAACAATGTGGGAAAAAGATGAGAAAATTTAATTAGGACAAATACCTGTAGTGGTATTTGCTCCACCCATGACCTTGGACTATAGGGCCGGAAGGAGGTGATGCTTTCACTTCAAAGCCCATCTACAAGATCAGATTACTGAGTGAGTTTTAAATTTCCCAAGTGTACAGATTGCATTATAGCCACGTAGGAAAGTTGCCTAGTTCTTATGAGCTACATGATGAAGTCTCTAGGGATAAACTGCCATGAGGCATTCAATTTACATTCAAATGTGATTCTGAAATATGCATAAGTATCAATAAATTTACAAAAAGATAGGGAAAGTGACCATCTGAAGTTCTAAGGTCACCACTGGTAACTTTGGGTGAAGGAAACCTCGGGATTCTTTGTATGACATGTGGGTTTTAGTTCCAATTTTACTATGCATTAGAAACTTTGTAAATTGTCGGAGCAAAGGATGCATGGATTTTATCCAGATTGTGGGAAAATATAAATTTTGTTTTCAAGGGTATTTACAGCATGGCTTTTACTAGCAAACAAAAAAGAAATCTTTGGAAAGTGGATGAAATAGCTGTCATATCCATATGATGAGATACATAGTCATTAATATTTGATGTGTGTCTATATGTAAAGATAAAGAATAGCTCATGATTGGCATATATGAGAAATGGAGGAAAGAAAGGAGAGAAGGAAGAAAGGAATAAAGGAGTGGAAGAGGAGGAAAAGAATTGGAAGAAAGAAGGAAGAAGAGAAGAGAGGAGGAAGAAGGGGAGGAAAGAAGGAAAAATGGGAGGGAAGAGAGATGGAGAGTGAGGGAGGAGGGCAGAGGAAGGAAATGGTGGTGGAAGAAGAGGAGGAAGGACGGGAAAGAGGTGAGAGAGTCAGAACCTGGGGGTGGGGTGGAAGGAAAGGAGAAGATGAGTGCTGAGCCAGCCTGCTCTAATAGTCAATCAGTTTCCGGAATGAAGCATAAGAAACTATTAACAGGGATTTCCCCTGGAGAATTAGAAAGAGACCAAGAAAATTTTCTTTTCACATCTCATTAGTGTTGAAATTTGTTTACCTTGAGCATACTATCATTTTTATAATGAATGTTTCTACTCTCCCTGACCTAAAGTAGATGGTCTCATTCAACAGTATACACTCTTAGAATAGGAAGCTAAAACTATGTCTGTTCCTCACTAGTAGTCTTGCTTGGTGCTTGGTCAGATTCTCTGGGGCCAGGGACACAGGTTCCTTTGAAGTGAGTGTGTTCCAATGAACATACAAATGGAAGAATGTGTCATGATGTAGAGACAGACCCACTGTCTCCCTAGGTTACATGCCACAAACATATTCCTGGTCTAGATCCCTACAGGTCCTAAAACAAGAAGGAACTCAATGACCTCCGCTTTACTAATTATTGAAAAGTCTTTGTAAGCTGTGACTCTGACACATACATTGCCATCATTTCTTTAGAGACTTAGCTTCTTGTAGTCAGAGAAGTTATGCTGGTCTTTTTTATTTACAAATGAGGTCTTGTCCAAGACTTGATCATCATGATGATATTGTTCTTCTCCTATTGTTAATGGCTCTCATATATAGAACAGCAACTGAGAGTATCTTATATTTTCACCATGGAGACCTGAGCTCAGGCTACGTGAAAAGGTTATGTGCTTTCTTTGGCTTTTGAGGGCCTTTTTCCTTTATTTAGAAATTCAGAATCAGGGGACCGGGCAGATGGGTCAGTTGGCAAAGTGCTTGCTGTATAAATGTGAAGAGCTGAGTCTGATCCTCGGAACTTACATAAGGAAGCTGGGCATAGTTGCGTGTGGTTACAATCTCCATGCTGGGCACACAGAGGCAGGTGGCTCTTGGTGGCTCACTGGCCAGCCAACCTAGCTGAATTAATGAGCCCTGTGGTAGTGAGAGATCCTGTGCCAAATTAACAAGGTGGATAGTGACTAAGGAAGACACCAAGGCTGACATCTGGTCCCTGCACGCTCAGAGGCACATGCACATACAAGAACACACGGACACACAGACACAGACACAGACAGACACACAGACACAGATAGACAGACAGACACACACACACACACAAAGAAAGAGAGAGAGAGAGAGAGAGAGAGAGAGAGAGAGAGAGAGAGAGAGAGAGACAGAGGCAGAGAGAGAGACAGAGAGAGACAGAGAGAGAGAGAGAGAGAGGATTCAGAATGGTATCTTTAGATGTGGCAACCAATGCTTACCACTGTGTAAGCCTTTGTAGGACATCACAAGAGTCTACATGCTAAGTCCCATAGTCATTTCCAGAACTTTATGTAATTTACACAAGAAGTTAAATAGCACAAAACTTATGAAGATCACAGATTTGATTGCACCTTTTAATCACAGGTGGAGGAAGTCTAGTGGATGGGAAAAGTTTAGGCAAAAAAGAGAGCCGAGACACCTCTTGCTGTGAGCATGAGTCAACAACACTAGTTAAGCCCCAGAAGCTAAGAAGCCACAGGTACAAACTGCTAGGCCTGTGATCAATATGTTACTTTGACATTTGCAAACACCCTCTAGAATCACAACACTATTTCAAACCTTTTAATGTCATTTTATGAAGTTGGCTTGCCCTTTAAATGTCTTTTATCCCTCTGAGAATTAAATCAGTTTGGGAAAGACCCTATTTTGATGATCTGAACAGCAGTTTTGGGAAAGAACAACAAAAGCTCTTAACTTGGTTGTCATAGGTTGTTATCATTGTGACGGCCAGCCATTCAGCACTCTGCTCTCCTCTTAAAGAGTGACACTAGTGGCTTCCTCCCCTGGAGGAAGTCCCTGCCTGAGAAGCAGATGAAGCTAGAGAGTCACGTCACTGAAGAGTTCATAAGTGTGGATTAGAGAGATGCACAGCTCTGTCAATTCCTGGCACACAGGAGGTGCCAACCAATTAGACTCATTGGGGAATATTCTTCCTAGGATCTCTCTGGTGAACATAGGAAGGAAGATTCTCCATGAATGGATGTAGTGCAAAGTTGGAGGTGTCAGCCTGCCATATCCTGTGTTTGAGACACATACAGGAACAAAGGGCAGGGGAGTACCTGGAATAAGCTTGTCAGACACTACGTCAGCGCACCCCGAATGGCACTCTGTGATGTTTCAGAAGCCTCTCTATCCATAGCAGAATTTAATGCCATCAAACGTGTGTGTGTGTGTGTGTGTGTGTGTGTGTGTGTGTGCATGTGTGTGTACATGTGGAGGCCAAAGGACAACTGCAAGTGTTGTTCCTTAGGTACCGTTCACTTTTTTATTGAGACAGGGTCTCTGATTGGCCTGGATATCTCCAAGTAGACCAAGCTGGTAGCTAGTAAGCCCCAGTGATCCACCTGACTCTACCTCCTCAGCTCTGGGATTACAAAGATACAACTTACACAATCCAAGGGTTATGAATTTTAGTGGTTTCTAAGATGGGATATATCTGGTGAACCTCCTAAAAAGAAATGACAAAGCTAGAAGTATAGGCCAGAAGGTAAAAGCACTTGTTGCACAAGCCTATGACCCAAGTTTGATACCTATAACCTATGGTAGAGGGAGAGAGCCAATTCCCAAAAGTTGGTCCTCTGACCTTCAGACACATGCCATAGCATTTGCAGCACCTGAAAGCATGGGATATGCAAACACACACACACACACACACACACACACACACACACACACACACACACACAAATGAAATTTAAAAATTAAATGAATGATAAGAGGAAGGGAGCACTCCACTCAACAGTCCCAGACCACAGCGATTAGAGTCTTATGTGTTACTTCACATATCGTTAAGGATGCTGCATCTGTTGTTTGCATGCTTATCTGTTACGTGGTCTGTCTAAGAGGAAGCATGAGTACACTATAATTCTAGAAAACAGGAAAGGACACCTTAGAATAGCAGTTCCCAACCTGTGGGCTGTGACTGACCCTTTCACAGGGGTCACATATCAGATATCCTGCATAACAGATATTTACATTACGGTTCATAAAACCAGCAACATTAGAGTTATGAAGTAGCAATGAAAATAATTTTAGGGTTAGGGGGGTCACCACAACATGAGGAACTGTATTAAGGGGTTGCAGCAATAGAAAGGTTAACCACTGCCTTAGAAGCTCAGCAACAGTCAACCTAACAAAGTGGGAAGACATGAAGGACTGTCATCATGGCAACTAGTTGTCTTCTCAGAGAGAGGAGCAAAGATCTCCTCACAATTCTGCTTCATGCTAAACAAGCATGTGTGTAGAACAGGAGCCAAACACTGGGGGGTGGAGGTTGCTAAAGAAAACAGACATTCACTAGGCCTCGTGATGAAGACCTGAGATCCCAGCTACTTGGGAGGCTGAAGAGAGAAGATCACAAGTTCAAGACCTTCCTGGATTAAAGTGTGTCTAAGACTAACTAGTCTGTGCAACTTGGTGAGACTCTGTCTCTAACTAAAGGGAAAACCTGGGATGTTGTCTAGTGGTATAACACCTTCCTAGGATGTGTGATGCCTTAGCTTCTATCCCCATTAAGAAAGTGGACAATCCATGGCTCTTGGAACCTGTGGGTAAAACCTTGGGGCCTGTGAAAAAAGGCTTGGGGCCCATTGGAGAAGCCTTGGGGCATGTGCAAGAATACTGTGTCCTTTGGGGAAAGCTGTGGAAATTGTGGAAAAGCCTTGTAGACAGGAAGAAAAGCCTCAGAGCCTGTGGGAGAAGGCTTAGAGCCTTGAGTGAATTTGTGGGACCTGTGTGAAAAGCTGTGGAGTTGTGGGAGAAGCCCTGTATGTATACTGTGGGAAAAGTCTTGTAGACTGTGGAGAGAAGCCTTGTAGAATGTGAGAGAAGCCTTGTAGTATGTGAGAGAAGCCTTGTAGACTGTGGGAGAAGCCTTGCATGCTGTGGGAAATGCCTTTTATATCAAAGGAAGTGCCATGGAGAATATGGGAGAAGCCTTGTATGTCGACTGTAGGAGAAGCCTTGTAGACTGTGAGAGAAGCCTTTTATATCAAAGGAAGTGCCATGGAGAATATGGGAGAAATCTTGTACATAGACTGTGGGAGAAGCCTTGTATATTATGGAAATGCCTTGTTGACTGTGGGAGAATCCTTGTAGACTGTGGGAGAAGCCTTTTATATCAAAGCAAGTGCCATGGAGAATATGGGAGAAGCCTTGGGAATTGGGAGAAGATAGTAAAGACAGAGACATGTGATGTGACAAGCATCATATAATTGAAAAAGACAGTGGTCCTCTCAAATCCCGAGTACCAAGAGGCCCAGCTCCAGAACAAACTGCGCTGGTCTCAGCCTTATTACCTGTTCTCTGTCTGGCTCCCTTATCAGGAAGTTCCTCACCAAAATATTCCAAGAGCTTAAATCAGTTCTTGACACAAGGGAACAGGCTGTAGGAGAAGGGAATGATTAATAGAGCTCTGGAGACAGCCCAAGCCTCCTGGGAATGCTGGTTACCCTGTCCTGTGACTGTCAGGGTCAAACTTAGGGCAACACCATGGGGGCCACCTGGGTCCATAGGGAGGTCATCCCAAGAGGCAGGCTGGAAGAAAAGTGAGAGTCGAGGGGCAGTGCAGGGACAGTAACAACCAATAAAGAACACAGTATTGGAAGGTTACCGTTTTAGGTGACTGTGACTCTGTCCTGCTGTGAACTTCTTAGGAACCACACAGCACATTATGCAGAATTGTCCCTCTGAAGGACAGGAGGCTGAAGCATTCATAAACTGATACCCATCATTCCCACTGTGGCTTGGGGTTATCCCTGCAGCAATTTTCCATTTATTTTATTTTTTTTTTTAATTTTTAAAACCTTGAGACAAATACTCGGCCAAACCACTAAACAAATACTGCATAAAATACTTACAATCCCTGCAAGCTCCTGTGAAGCATCACAGTGAGATAAATCTACGTGGGGGGGTGGGACCCAGCTTGACCTGACAGCAGCCATCTTGGGTCTTCACTGACAGTGTTGTCCCCAGGACTCTGGGTGGTTTTCCCCACAGTCCTCCAAGTGTGCTATGCACAGAGAGAGCCATCAGAGGGGTATATGTTTGGTGCCTTACAAATCTCGACTCTGCTGTGACGTGGATATGCCTAACAACCCTGCTACTGGCTTCAGATATACCAGGTTCACTCAGGCTTGCATGAAGTCACTTTGTCCTTAGCCATTATCTAAGGCCCTCCTTCTGACCCAAATCATGGCGATTAGCTGCCTCACTGACTGAAGGCACACTTCAGTTCCTCAGTCCCCCTTAGACCTTGTTCTGTGCAGTCTTGAGTTTGTGCAGCACTTGTTTTGATCTCTGTCACCTTGGGAACCATTCTCATATACGAAGACTGGGTTTCTTGGGGTCATATTTTAAAAAGGAACTCCCCAAAAAGAATTCCAGGGAAAAAAATAATGCAAAAGACGATAGTATGCACTACAAGAAACAGCAGCACTGTATAAGTGCTGGGAAAGGGTTCATAGATGAGATAAAACCAGAACTAGAATCTTGGGATGCTGGAGAGATGAAGGCAATAGGACCTAGTGACATACAATTAAAAATCCCTCCCTAGTGCTAGGTATGATAGAGTGCTATATACCTTCTGCAGGGAACCATGACTATGCCTAACAGCAACTTTGAAATCTTCAAAAAGAAGACAGGACTCCACAAAGATGATTCCACATGGACTATGATAAAGCCATTAAGCTGGTTAACACCAAGGAAAGATCTACGTTGGACTACAAACTGGTCAGGACAATTTCGAGATGACTAGCTGAGACGATCCAGCCTGACAGACTACTCGAGCAAGGACTTGTGACAAGCCCTGAACTTTCTTTTTATGCAGAGAACTGAACAAATGATACAGGACTTGACAATTAACCCAAAAATTTTCTTTTCAAGATTCCCTAAAGATATCTTCACTCCTAGAAAGCAAAAAGAAGAAGAGAATAAGATATGAGATAGATCATTGAATCTACTCTGAGAAAAAAGATAAAGAAATAATAGGATAAATAGGTAGATCACTGAATCTACACTGAAGAAAAAGGGGAAGATATAAAAATGACAAAAGGTAGACTACTGAATGTATTATGGAAAGAAAAAAGAGGATATGGGTATGATAAGATAAAAAGGGAGATTATGGAATCTGCTTTTAAAAAAGGAACTACTTGTTTTAAATAAGATAAGTAATGAAAATTTTTTGGTCTGAGTTTATCAGATGTTACTGGACTGAACATTGTTAATATGTATAATGGAGTTTTTTATCTGAATCTGTCAAATGTTAATGGACTAGATATCATTAATGTAATTTTTGGCTGTATATATTGTATATACTTATTGGATAGTTTTTCTTGTATTAGTTATAAGTCTTTTTTAATTTTAGACAAAAAAGAGGAAATGTGGTGGTATTGTGTTCCCCAAAATATTGTGTACCTTAATAAACTTATCTGGGGTCAGAGAACAGAAAAGCCACAAGATACTTAGGCTAGAAAATGTTAGCACATGCCTTTAATCCTAGCATTCCAGAGACAGAAATCCCTCTGGATCTCTGTGAGTTCAAAGCCACATTGGAAACAGCTAGGCATGGTGACTCACACCTTTAATCCCAGAAAGCAGCCTTTAATCCCAGGGGAGTGGTGGTAGAAAGCAGAAAGGTTTATAAGGCGTGAGGACTAGAAACTAGAAGCATTTGGCTGGTTAAGCAAGCATTCAGGCTTTTGAACAGCAATTCAGCTGAGACCCATTCTGGATGAAGACTCAGAGGCTTCCAGTCTGAGGTACAAGACCAGCTGAAGATCTGGCGAGGTGAGGTAGCTGTGGCTTGTTCTGTCTCTCTGATCTACCAGCATTCACCCCAATAACTGGCCTCAGGTTTGATTTTATTAATAAGAACTTTTAAGATTCATGCTACAATACCTCTAACCCCAGCACTGGGGAGTGGAGGCATCAGAATCGGGAGTTCAAGGTCATCCTTGACTAAATAGTGGGTTTGCATACAGGTTTGAGCTACATGAGACCTTGTTTCAAAAAATAAGCAGGCAAGCGAACAAAAATTCTTCTTATAAGATCAAACCCTTGACTCAACATGAATTACAGGCCCATGATTGTGACTATGTAAATATCATTTGAAGCAATTTCAGTCTTGAAAATCAATCATATAAAATATCACAAACATTATTATAGGTATTTGGAGAACAAAACAAATGTTAGAAGCTTTGACAATATAAAATCTAAATAAAACAACAGCAAATGTTACTGAGTAGAGGGATGAAAAGATTTAGAAGTAATTTCAAAGTTATTATCCATTCTTCCAAATTGTAAATTTTTACATTATTTTGGTATGTGTATGTATTTGTACTTGTTAGTGTAGGTGTGTGTATCTGTGCATATGAGCATGCACATGTGCTCATGAGGAGGCCAGAGATAGGAAACATTTTTCTTCTATGACTGTCCATCCTTACTTTTTGAGATGAGGCTTCTCACTGAACTTGCACCCTGATTCAGCTAGGCAGCTTAGCTAGTGAGCTGCAGGAGTCCAGTAGCTCTGGGCCTTAATGCTCGGGGTTACTGACCACTGTGCCCAGTTTCTTACACAGACACTGGTGATCTGAACTCAGTTCCTCATGTGTGCAGAACAAAAACTTTATCTACTGAGCCATCATTCTCAACCTGACTTTCATATTTTGAGCTGGTTTATAAGAATTGTCCAGAGTTAAGGGTACAATGTGGTGTTCTGACATGAGCAATGTGATGCATGATAATCTAATTAGCTTATCCATCACCTCAATCATCTACGCATTTCTGGGGTGAAAACAATCAGAATCACTTCTAAAGTATTAGTTAGAGCTGGAAAACCTCAAAACACAAATCCTGATACATATCTTTCATAGCTGACAAGCTAATGACCAGAAGGAATGAAGTAATAGTATAATTGACAAGACTGAAGTAAAGCAGCAGTAGGGGATTGTAAGATGAATTGCTAAATAGTCCCTTATTAATAAAAAACCCGGAGCCAGATATGGGGGTGCAAACCGAGAGACCAGAGGAATAGGACAAGCCACAGCCAACCTCACCTCACCGACTCCTCAGGCTCCAGAGAGACCTCCTTCCTGTATACCCACGCCTATATGCCTTTCTGTCCCTGCCATCTCACTTCCTCTCTCTGCCCAGCTACATCAATTCCTCTTTCTGCCCAGCTCTGTCACTTCCTGTCTGTCTATACAGACCTCCATACCTTCATGGTTAGTGCTGGGATTAAAGGCAATGGTAATTGCCTGACTTCTATTGTTTACTGTAGTGGCTGGCTTTTTCCCATGATCCTCAGATAAGCTTTGTTGGGGTACACAGATAAAATATCACCACTGGGGATTTACAAGAGGGTAATGATTTCTTCATTATTTTATTTTATACAGAAGATTGGGGCTGTCTAGAATTAATAACTCAGGCAAGGAGAGATGGTTTGGTGGTCAAAAATACCAGCTGTTCTTCTACAGGACCCAGGTTTCCAGCACCCCCGTGGCAGCTCACAGCTACCTGTAACTCCAGTTACAGGCCATCCAATACACCTTCTTCTACTGTCCTCGCCAATACCAGGCATCCTGGTGGTGGACAGGACACATGCAGGCAAAACAACCACATAAAATGTAAATTATTATTTAAAATTGATAACTTGAGAAGTAAAATCATTAAAACTCTAATAAGAATGTTGTGGTTACTGAGGTGGGCAAGACTGTTGCTTCCACAATTTCAGTTTGTAGAGTCTTTAGAACCTATGTATCATCCCCCCAACACAAATGTTGAGACACTGTTTAGAGAATATTGTAAAAGAGACTCAAACCACATTAGTTTGCTGGCTCTAAATGAAGTCCCTGTCTCAGCCCTGAATTCCCTACGATTAATAACAACTTAGCAATGCTCAGGATTTGGGAGAATAAATAACCCTGTCATTTTCTACCCCCAAGCTGTGGCTTCATATTAGACAGCCATGCTAATTCTGCTTGTAATCCCCAGGAAGTGTGGGGACTTGTGTAATCCTTCATCGCTAAGCCTGTTTCATCTCCGCTGAACGCAGAAGGATCAACTTTTAAAAATTGCCAGTGGGGGTAAGGAGATGAAAAAACAATAAGGAATGACAAGGTGTGTTGGGAGATGAAAAGGAATAACAGTGATTAGGTTAAAATAATTAGATATTTATTCTACTCACTTATCTCACAGGGATCAACATTTCACCTGCAATAATGGGAATTTCATATATCTCCAAATTACTTTATGAAAGCCTCGTTTGAACCTAAAGTACATCCGATCCTAAAATATTCAGTAATGTTCCAAATCAAGAATTTATGAATTCAGCATCTTACTGCAGGGCCGAGGCTCTGCTTTTGAACCTTCTTTACTCCTCAAGAGAGGGGTAGAGCACAGAATTCGGGGGACTTTTGAAATCGGCAAGTGAGTTGGTGAGATAGGCCCCAGCTGGTTCTACAGGTTGGGTTCTTGATGTGCAGATGTCTCCAAAGTCCTGTTCCCTAGGAGCAGTGATGAAGCTGGAGTGTATGATGGATGAGACGGTCCAATTCAGTTCTCTCTGTTTATGTGTGTTATTTACCTCCTGTGCCATCTGTATTTCCACTGCACATTACCATCAGAACATTCCTTTTTCTGGGAATGGGGGGAACGGATAGCAAGAAAGGGAGTTGGAATGAGAAAGAAGGCTGGATATTAAGTGTACATATCTGGCAGTCATATTATTGCTTTGAAATAGAAAATTGTTCTTTGAAATATCAGAGCTAAATCTTTTTTCTTTTACTGCGTTTTATTGAAAAATTCATACAATAAAAAAACCCTTCAGTTTCATTCATTCTTGTGTGTGTGTGTGTGTGTGCGTGTGTGTGTGTGTGTGTGTGTGTGTGTGTGTGTGTGTGCAAGTTCACCTGTGTGTATGTGTATGTGGAGGAGAGAGGTCAGACTTAGACTATCTTCCTTGCTTTTTGAGGCAGAGTCTCTCATTGAAGCTAGGATGTGGTGACTGGGCTAGCCTGGCTAACCCCAGAGCGTCCTCCACTCCTACTTCCCAGGGACGGGATGACAGGCTTTTACTGCCATGCCTGGATTTTACACAGGGGCTGCGGAATGAACTCAGGTCTTCATACCTGCATCGCAAGAACTTTATACATACATGTTTTTTCTACTTTTGATCAAATTAAGGTATTAAATCATGTATACATAATATCTAAACAAATATGTAATTAGTAATACATTTTTTCATATCTGTGTTTATTTCTCTACTGTCATTTTTTTTTTTTGCACAACATGCGGGTCATATGTACTCTTTCATACTTTAATCTTCAACTTAAAAATATACCATGGATGGGGCTGGAGAGATGGTTAAGTGCTTAAGGTAACTTCCTGCTTTTGGGGAGGATCCAGGTTTGATTCCCAGCATCTACACAAAAACTCACAGCAGTCCATGATTCCAGTTCTAGGGGAATCCAACATCTTTTTCAGGCTTCCCAGGGCACCAGGCACATACACAGGGTACTTACATCCATACAGGCAAAATGCTCACATATATAGAATAAAAATAAAAATGAATCTTTAAGAAACAACCTCCTCCCCCAAACACTACAGATTAAAAAAAACCTTATCAGTTTATAAAAGTTCTATTTAGTTTTTGTTGTTCTTTCTTTCAGAGAAGGTTTGGCTGTATTGCTCAGGCTGGCGTCAATGTATAAGTCTCCTGGGATTTCAGGCATGTGCCACCACAGCCTATCTACTTTTACTCATCTTATGGCTGCTGAGTACTCTACTGTAGCATGATTTTTTTTCAAACCATTCTACTAAGGATAGAATTTGTTTCCAATATTCATAATTACTATGGATAATCTTACATATGTTATCTTTATTGTAGAGAAATAACTTCAAGATAAAGTTTTGTAAGTGCTGAGACAACTATGCCAAGAAACACACATACACATAAGCACGCACACACATGCACACACACACATGCACACACATACATGCACACACACACACACTGTGGTGATATATTGTGTCCCCTAATATATTGTGTACCCTAATAAACTTATCTGCGGTTAGAGAACAGAACAGCCACTGGATAGACATAGAGACCAGAAAATGGTGGCACACATACCTTTAATCCTAGCATTCTGGAGTCAGAGCTCCATTCGGATCTCTGTGAGTTCAAAGCCACACTGGAAACAGCCAGGCATGGTGACACATGCTTTTAATCCCAGGAAGTGATGGCAGGAACCAGAAAGGTATATAAGGAGTGAGGACCAGGAACTATAGGCTTTTAAGCTTTTAGGCTTTTAGCAGCAGTTCAGCTGAGATTCATTTGGATGAGGACTCAGAGGCATCCAGTTTGAGGAAACAAAATCAGCTGAGGAATTGGCTAGGTGAGGTTAGCTGTGGCTAGTTCTGTTTCTCTGAATCTTCCAGTGTTTACCCCAACCAACACTTGGCTCCGGTTATTTCATTTCTAAGACCGTTTAGCAATTTGTCTTACAACAGACACACACACACACACACACACACACACACACACACACACACACACACACCAAGAACACGGCATATTTTTCTCCCATTGTGGCTACTCTAGTCTCTGGCGGCCACCATCAATGCACAAATATGCCTGTTTCCTCATCGTCCCACCAACAAAGCCAGTTTGATTTACTAATAATTTGAATCTTTGCCAATTTTATAATTAGATGATATTTTGGTTTAGTTTTGATTTATATTCTTTCTGATAATTTTTATTTGTTAAAGGGAAAGTTGTATTTCTTTTTTAATATAATGATTGTTTCTATTTATTTCCTACCAGACTTATGGTAAACAACTTTACTTACTTCTCAATTGATGACACTTATATGAGGACTCTTAATTGAATATGGCCCCATGCACTAAAATAAATATGTATTTTAATTACTCTTGGACACTGTCTCAGATGAAAAACGATTTTTTCTGCAACAAACAAATGTTTGCTCCAGCAGATAGAACTTTGGCTCCAAGCCATCCATCCAAAACTCAGAGACATATATCAAATATAGTTCAGAGACAGTGATTGTGGGCCGGGTCCATGGTGGCCAATCTGAGACTTTATGACCATCTAGAATGAGGAGGATAATCTCATGGTACAAGAAAAGTGCAGGGTAGAAATTAGCTGTCAGGGGCCTGGGGGCGTCATCAAAGGATGCTAGCTGAGGAGTCAGCAATACAAAGTCCCCTGTGGTCGGGCACCTTCTTTAAGATGAATACAGTCAAAGGCAAATGGCCATCATTGATTCAAGAAAGGTCTTCACAATGGAGTTGAAGTTCTCAAACTGAACAATAATAGGCTCAGTCATAACACCAAGACTGAAGCATTGGGGGATGAAAACATGTCATGAAGAAAACTGTATCTGTGTTCCATAAAAACCACGCAAAATGGGTTCTACGTCCTCAGTCCTGTTAAAAGATGCCTGCACCCGATAGAGTCAAACAGGCAAGGAGATATAGTTAAAGACTGCTTGACTAGGGAAGAGAAGTTATTTTCCACTCAACCAAAACAGAATGCGCGGAATTTAAAGCCCTGGGTGAACCTGTGGGGAAGAGTCGGAAGACTGGAGGCACAGGATAGACATGGTGATGGATCAGGTGTGACTACTGAGTGCCAGGTGAGGAAGTTGGGTCTCTTCTTTCCCACAGATGTGAATTCCACCTTTCTTAATGATGGTATTTCACGGTGATGCCTCCCGTGCCCTTGAGGAAGACACTTCTGCATTGCACAGCTGGATAGAGACTGGAGGAAGATCCATGTTCTGAAGAAAAAGAAGGGCTCTGAGCAAGAGTTAGCTCTAGGACAAGTGTCTAGAAGAAACCGTGTCGAGTCTTATTGGGCAGATGAGGACATCTGAGGTCATTCTGAAAATTTACACCATACTTTACAACTACTGATGAAATGTGGACTTTGTTGTGGAAATCTAGGTGAAATAAAACATATCAAAGTGAACAGTACCTTCTGTGGCTCAGGTAGGTCTGTTCACTGAATATTGTGAAGAAATGGATGCATCACCATTGGGTTGCTGGTGAATTAATATTGGAATCTGAGTGTGGATGTTCCCGTCAGTCCATCCCCTGAAGAGTCACTAAAGATGACATGATGTCATCCATATAAATATATATTCTAAGTGCAATCTAGAAGGGAAGTAATGATTATGTTGGAAATGTTGATTTGAGCTATGAGAATCAGTTTTCACATGGTTTATTGATACTAATTTGGAGTAGCAGAAAATCACACATGAAAAAGATGTATCTCATGGCTTACATCTTATTTATTAGAGGTAAAAATATTCAGGGGTTGGAAGGATGTCTCAGAAGTTAAGGACATTGGTTGCAGAGGACCCAGGTTTGATCCCTAGCACCCACGTGGCAGCTCATAACTATCTATAACTCCAATTTCAGGGAATCTGCTGCCCTCATCTGACCTCTGAAGTCATCAGGTTTGCAAGCAATGCTCAGACATATACATGCGGGCAAGACACCATAATATGCATAAAAGAGAAATTAAAACAATACTTCAACCCCTTCCTTCTCCTCATTATTTCATCACTTCCAAAGTGTAGACAGAGCCATGGGTCAGGGCTGTTAAAAATCATATCATTTTAAATTCATATTAATCTTAAACAGAGATAAATTTATCCTGATGTTAGTAAGGGAACCATTGCTAAAGATATCATACTTACTAAAGATCAGGTAATAAGGTTAAAGATACGTGGTTGACCCATGACCATCTGACTGAGCCAATGCTCTTTCTTTGCAGATGGTAGTGAGGTCCCCAGTGGTGTTTGGCTGGAGGCATTTGCAAGGAAAATTAGGAAGCACTCAATATCCCCTGTAATTCTATAGTTTAAAATAAAGTGGGAAAATTCAATAAACACCAACTTCGGGCATTTTTTCGCCTCTAATTTTAGAACGCCAACCCTGAAACAGCCGCAGCAAGAAGAGAGTGACGGCTGTCATCACCCTGGGTGTTGGAGTGCGGGCTCCGCATTTGTACAAGGAAAGGCGAGGATTATTTAAGCACTTTGTTTTCCTAGGCACAAATTGCCTGCCTGCTTGTGATAAAAATGAGCTGACAGCCTTTGGCTGTTTTTACATCAAATTCAGTACCAAAATGTCCCCAGTTAAAGGCCTCCCTACTTTCAGCCCACATGCAAGTTTTTTTCTTCTTCAGAAAAAGGGATTCTTTGGGACTCAGCAACTTCTTCCCCTCTTTAGCTCTCTGTTTTTCCAGCTTCACTTTTTTTTTTTCTAGTATCACCTACATACAGAAAATTTCACAAATTGTAAGCATAAACGTCCATGGACTGTAAACACTAGTTACTTCTAAACAATGGCCCAATAAAGACCAGCCCTTCAGTCTGACTCCTCATTTCCATATCTTACTGAAAGCAGTATTAAAGACTTTTTATAAAACCAATTAAAAATTTTAAAATTATGTCTAGTTACTTTCTGTGTGTGGCAGGCAGAGGGTGGGTGGGTGGGGTGGGTGTGCCATGGGCCAGGTGTGGTGGTGCGAAGGGAACTTTCTCCAGTCTCTTCTCTCCTCCTACCATATGGATTCCAGAGAACTGAACTCAGGTTCTCAGGCTTGGCAGGAAATGACTCTACCTGCTGAGCCTTATGACCGGCCCTTACATTTTGATGTTATGAAGCTAGAGACAAGGCTCCCCCAGGATCACACCCACCTGTAACTCCTCTAGCTGCCATGGGCACCTGCATTCATCTGCATATACCCACATGCAGACATAAAATTTTAAAAATTAAAATAGTAACAGCCATGCATGGTGATG